TATACCCAATCAAGCTCTTAGCTGTTTACAGTTCTGCTTGAAGTTAATTTGCTTAATTACCTTTCACCATTTTCTGAACCCTAACTGATTAAAGACACTAAGAAATTATATAACTTAAAACCAACCTTCGCTATTTCAATAGTGCACTACTTGCAGATTTTCAAAAGCTACAGAAAGTTCCACATAAATATGTTAGGCAAGTTGATGTTATTACCAAATGAATTCAAAAAAATGAATGAATTCAAAAAGCTCTGGAATTTACTTTCCATAAAGTTTATGTTTACCAGTACATTTACAAAAGATGGCTTTAATTATGGCCAGCAATTGAATCAACTACTTCACTTCATCTAATACACAGTAACAACCAAAAAAATCCCACTAGACTAGAGATGTCACAGTACATCAAGATAATTCCAATGTGCTGAATCCATGCTCACAGTACCAGAAAATTATATACCCCCATACAATATAGGTCCAATGTAGAAAGACTATATAATAATAATCCTTGCATTTGATATTGGCTTTTTCACGTCTTCTAGAATAGACTGTAAAGTGAATTGACTGTATATTTGTGGGCAAAAGGCGGCAGCCAATTGCACACAGCAATGTCCCACAAACAGTCATGGATTGAAGTGACCAAGTTTATTTGAAGGATTATTATCAGGCGTGTGGAGTAAGGAAACTTGCCCAAGGTTTCGCCCTGCCGGGAATCGAACCCAGGTCTCTCGCTTGCGAGGTGCATATGATGCAAGGTTGAACAGAAATATTAAATTATGCATTTCCTCCTTAAGAGTTAGGATCTTATACTCATCATTGGATCCCTAAATCTGGGCCTAGCAGGTTATAAGAAACTTAAAACATTTCTGCACAGAAGGGAGCTATTTGGCTCATCACATCTAATCAAGAAGCTCCCAACTTTTTCACATCTCTAGTTTTGCAATTGTATGTTCTTCTGTCTAAAGCCTATATCCTTTCAAGTTTGGAATATTGAATCATTAAACATATCTGCCATTCCTACCTACTCACAATAAGAGAAAACGCTCATCTAATAAGTGATCTTCTTCCCTTACCTCCAGCCTCTCCCTCTCATAACTTTTGTCGTCTTTATTAATTCAATTCTAAGTTTGTTACTCCTCTGGTCAATCTTGTTGTTACCACCCAAGCATATTATCTTAATATGTTGTTCCTACTCTCTGGATCCTCACTATGTTGGCATCAAAACCCACTACACCGTCTCCTCTTAACCTTCTCTGCTCCAAAGAAGATAATCCCAACTTCTCTAGCCTCTCCTGAGAACTGAAGTCTCTCATTCCTGGTAAATCTCCTTTGCACCCTCTCCAATGCCTTGGCATCCTTCCTAAAGTGTGGTGCCCAGAACTGAACACAGTACTCGAGCTGAGGCCTAACCAGTGTTTTGTAAAGGTTTATCATAACTTTCTGACTTTTGTATTTTATGCCCCTATTTGTAAACTAATATCTTGGGAAAGAATGAGATTGAACACTATCTCATTCTTTCCCAAGAACTCAGCTGAGACAGTGTGATTGCTAAAATTAACCCAAGCCACCCTTGGGAGAGATGCACACACACACACACTCTACACGCAAAAAGACTAGTCTACTCCTTTGTAAACAGATACTCCCTCATAGTGAGGGTGTGTAATTTTTTCTGGATTACAGAAAAAATGTTTGATGGAGAATCTACCTGCTATTAAAAAAATAACTTTTAAACAGGTTAAGTATTTCAAAAACATTTTACTCTCAAAGATGGATCTCAAGAGCAGGATTCAATAATAAACCATCGGTGTCCATCCTAACTGAGACTATACAGACTTGATCATTGGTGAAACTCCATCATTCGACAACGTGGTAGAGATAATCTTCAATTTCTTTTACTGGTTGAAGCAAATGTTTACAGCTAGTTATCCATATAATAAGAGCCATGCAGGTTTTGGCAAGATGCATTTAAGCAACTTGAGTTTCAGTCATATGTTACGCAAACGCTGTCAGTTCCACTTATTTAAAATATCTGGTCACACTGGGGCTCATATAGTGGCATCCAGTTTGCCAAGAAAGGCAATGACTGTAATAGGAATACAACGTTTTCACAACACAATACGCACAATGGAAAGAAAATTACAAGAACTTTATTTTTAAAAGGTGCAAATTATATTGAAACTAACTGCAGGAGGAAAACAAAACACTGAAAGGTGCATTTTAACATTGTGGTAAATATTCTCTAATAATGCAGAACTCACAATTATTGCGATAACAAAGAATTAATAGTATCTATTATGAAGGGGCACAGAATATAAAGGCAATGTACTGCCCCATGGCATGCACATTTGGAATAGCATTCTACAACAGACCAAGGGAAGGAATTTGCTTATACATCCAACACCAATATTTCTTCAAAGACCACGTCACTTTTTTTAAAAAAAGTTACAATTTATTACGACAATAAAATGCTAGCGAATTTATAGGAGCAAACCATTTTTAAAGTTCAAATGATAAAGATTTAAGCTTGAAGATGCAGAAGTTATTGGAATTCCTGTATTCTACCTCACTGCTGTTAAAAGTGTTAATGCGGCTAACACTGAAATTCTGTCAGTGACCCAGTTACGCTCAACACTAGATGAAAGCTAAATGTTTAGAATTCAAGAGAGGGTGGAAGAAAAGGGGAAAAGATGCTGTCCTAATCTCTCCACTTTGAGTCCATTTCCCAGTACCAAACCTTAAAACATCAACAGTAATTGTGGAATCAGAGTTCACATTGCATACTTCTGGTTATATTGATAAGAGGGTGAAAGTGGTCTCCAAGGAGAAAATTCTGTATTTCCTGTAATTGTGTTACCTCAACAAATTTATTCTGAAGTTTCTTCCAATATTCCTTCAGTTTTAAAAATCCAAATCGCCTGCACGTGTATTCAGCATTTAGAAAAGGTAAACTATCAAGTTGTTCCCTTGATTAAAAATAACTTGTAATATTATAATTCAACAGTAATTCAGAAACAAAGATCAGTTCTAGATTGATTATCAAATCTAAGAATCAAACTCATCCTTTCCATCCAGCACCTCGGGACGTCCTCCCGACGTGAAAGGCGTTTTAGAAATGTAATTTTGTTGTTGTTGATCAACATTGTCTACAAGACAGTAAGTACTTGAGGCAATTCAATGTAATGACACTAGAAATAAGCAAGTTATTTTTCTTTCCTTCTGATATTCATGTCCATTCTAGCATTCAATAAGCAATCATAGCTAACAGCCAAATAGTGCAATATGCTGTAGAGCCCATTTACAAAAAAAAGCCTCAATTACAAATGGATTCAGCTACAGTTCAGTACTTGAATGACAAGGGTAATCGAATAATCAAAAATCTTAAATTTGCACAGTAATTTAAAAGTACTAGTGGCAATCGTACACTGCATTACAGTATTTATAAACCTTAAATTATAGCAAAAATGACTCTTAATGTCATGTAATGACATGCTCCTTTTCACCTAAAAGAATCCTGCTTGAAGTGACTGCAGATCTTACTCACATGAGTCAATGTCCCCACCCCAACTTTTTTTTAAAATAACCATTTTCAACCATCAGTCCGTTTTGTTCCATCGTTTTAAGTGAACAACGACTAACTGGTCAACAAGCAACCTATAAAGAAGACCTGCCAGGAAACACCATAATACCAACTCACCTACATTCACGTGTGTGGGTGTGCAAGTGTAATAGTCAGAACACACCTTATACAGAAAAAATCCTTTTGCTGTTGAACAAATCCAAACAAGTTTAAATTCTAACAGGTAAATCCGAGGGGGGGGGTTGTGTGTTTCTTTTGAAAAAAATGATAAAACGGGTACCTTAAGAAATCAGCTACAATAGGAAGCACACCTAGGATCATCATTAGTTCAGCAACAGTAACTTGACAAATTAAAGCAAAAAAATTGAATAGCCTATAAATTGTAGCAACAGGAAATCGACTGTGAAGTCATCGCCGGCTTAGCAACCACACAGGGCTATCTAAACATACACTGACCCCCCCCCCCCCACACACACACACACCTCCCACCACCTGGGCAGGACAGGACAGGGCAGGGCAGGGCAGGAGGGCGACACCCTCCCCGTCTTTTAACACATACTCCAGTGGCACAGCACAGCACGTGGCAAGAAGAAAGTTGCTAAGAACCATCATGTATGGTTACCATTAACTTGGGTTTGGCTGAATTCAGCACTTTTCGAATTATAAGGGAAGGGATAGAATGGATGAGGGGAGGAGGGAGGGAGGGAGAGAGAGAGAAAGAAAAGAAACAAACCCACAATCATTGGTCTCTGCAAATAAATGCACACCTCCCTCTGTTATCTAACCACCTCCAAATGCTCACACACACACACACACAAAAAAAGCACATTACTCCAGAGTAATCCTTTGGTGATCATCCCCAGGTTTACTTGAAGAAGTCCTTCCAACACTATACCATCACTTGGACCTGTGTGTGTGTGTTTTTGTTTTTATCAATGAAGATGATGACGATTCCCTTTTACCAACACAAGACATTTTCACACACACACACGTACATACACGTACACATATACACACACACATATACATATACACATACACGTACACATAATACATACACACATACAGACAAAACACATTTTCACACACACACACACGTACATACACACACACATACACGTACACATATACATACACACACACACACACAAACACATTGATACACACACACACACACGCGATCTATTTGGCGGCCTAGAGCCTGAGCAAAAGAAAACATGAATAGCAATGAATTTTTTTTAAAAAATATATAGATATCGACATATATATATATATATATATAGATGTACGAAAGAAAAAAAAACACACCCCAAAATAAAAAGAGAATGAAATATTGAGACCGGATGCCGAAGGAAGGGAAGGGAGGAGGGAGGACAGGAGGGGAGAGGGGGAGAGGGGGAGAGGGGTGGCCTTTTCCCCCCTTTACCTTTGAGCTGAGGCAGAGGGCTCAGGTCGATGGCTTTTCCTTGGGACCTGTACTGCGAGGAGCTCTGCGAGCGCTTCTGTTTGGCCTTCCGCACCGACTTCCTCGAGAACCCATCGACTTTATCCACCGGCGGAGAGGAGGTCGACGAGGACATATTATCCCCGTTCGACAAATACACCACTCAGAGGGGAGGGAGAGGGGGGGCGGAGGCTGAGGCTGAGACTCGCCACCAACACCAAGTCCCTCTGTCTCTCTCCTCTCTTGTTGTCTCTCTCCCTTCCTCCCCCTCTCTCTCTCTCCTCTCTCTTCTGTCTCTCTCTCCTCCTCTCTCTTCGAAGATGCAGAGTCGGCCTCCGGCTTTGAGGTGAAGTCAAGCCAAGAGGAGCTCACAACTACTCACACTCACACACACACACACACAACCGGGCAAGGAATCCAGGCTGAAGGGCCTGCTCCTGGGGAGTGGGGGGGGGGGGGGGAGACAGGAGGGAGGGAGGGAAGAGGGGGATAGATGAATGGGAAAACAAAACAGAGAGAGAGAGAGAGAGAGAGAAATGGGGAGGGAACAAATCCTCGGCCTCTCCTTTAATTCGCCCCCCCACCCCCACCACAGTCTCTCTCCTCCTCTCTGGTCAATGGAGGCTCCTAACTCTCCTTTAGCCTCCTGGGCTGACTCTGTCTGAGAGGGGTGAGATTCCCTCCTCCCTCCCTCCCTCTCTACCCCCCACACCCTCCTCTCCCTCTCCCTCTCTCACACACACACACACACACCACAGGCCTCGGCTGGTGTTGGATGTAGGAGGGGGAGAAGAAGAAGAATAAAAAAGGGGGGTATAAAAGCTCCACTCCCCCTCCCCTCCCCTCCCCACTTTGTACTTTTACTTCTTTCTTTTCCCCCTTCACCACAAAACACACACAACTCCTCGGGGGTCACTTCACGCGTCCATTTAAGAGCAGGAGGAGGAGGAGGAGGAGGAGAAGAGAGAAAAAATGTCCATCAACTCAACTCTCCCCTCTCCCTCTCCTCTCCCCCTCGGCAGCGTGGAGTGAGAGAGAGAGAGGAGAGGAGTGAGGAAAAGGAGGAGATAATTCTCTTCTTTTTTTTGTGGGGGAAGGTTTGAGTCGAGGGGTTATTTTCTCTCCTTTTTTTTTCCTTCTCTCTCTCTCTCTCTCTCTGTGTCTGTCTCTATGAAGAGAAACGAACGCCTTGTGTGTATTCCTCGAGCCGCTGCCCCTCGTCTGCTCTTTTTTTCTCTCTCTCACACTCTCTCTCTCTGCGTCTCTTCTTCTTCTTCTGGTTGTTTTTTTTTCTTTCCCTCCTTTTTCTTTTTTTCTCTCTTCTTCTTCTCCTCTCTCCTCTCCCCCCCCCCTTCTCCCCTATTGTTGTATTCTTCCCTTTTGTGTCAGCGGCGCCCGTGGGCCGCGTCCATTTCCAATATGGGGGGGGGGGGGGAGGAGGGAGGGGGTTGTGGTCAAATCAGTGGCGAGGGAGGGAGATGGCGGGCGATGATGACGCTGATGGAGGGCGGGAGGTCGGGACGTAACGTGTGCGTAAGGCGGGGAGAGCGAGCGACGCAACCTGACGTGACCGCGCTGCGCTCCCGCCTCTTCTCCCCTCGCTTCCCATTGGCCGCGGGAGCCGAGCCCCACCTCCTTCCCCGCGCCTCCGCCCTCTCCGATTGGCCCGCGCCGCCGTCCGTCGGACGACGCGGCGGCACGTTCGGGGGAGGGAGGGAGGGAGCAAAGCGCGTCGGCGCCGAGCGGCGCGTGACGGACTGACGGACTGACTGATTGACAGGCGGGAGGGGCGGGGCTCCGGAACTGGGTCTCAGCGTCTGGTGATGGAGCAACGCAGCCACTCCCAGGCACTGTGCAAACGGTGCACCCACCACAGTGCTCTGTGCCAAACGGTGCACCCACCAAAGTGCACTGTGCAAAACGGTGCACCCACCAAAGTGCACTGTGCAAAACGGTGCACCCACCAAAGTGCTCTGTGCAAACGGTGCACCCACCAAAGTGCTCTGTGCAAAACGGTGCACCCACCAAAGTGCACTGTGCAAAACGGTGCACCCACCAAAGTGCACTGTGCCAAACGGTGCACCCACCAAAGTGCTCTGTGCCAAACGGTGCACCCACCAAAGTGATCTAATAATAATAATAATAATAATCCTCGCATTTGATATAGCGCTTTTCACGTCGGGAGGACGTCCCGAAGCGCTTCGCAGAACACACTGTGATCGGTGCAAACGGTGCATTCAGCAAAGTGATCCGTTGTTCGCAGTTTGCCACTTCCATTCCTACATTTTTTTTTGTCGCTGCCATTCACTCTCTGCTGCGTTTCAATTTAGGGCTCCCAATTCATTACCAATAAACTGATGAATACAGCGCTCCTTGCATTTGACACAGCACCTTATCGCGCCGGTATAACGGGGGCGCACGACATAAAGATAGACGCTATTGGATTTGGCAGCAAGTCGATGATGTTGCAACGGTTTCAAGGGGTTGCTGAGACACTGCTGGATGTTGGGAGACCTCCTGCATCCATGTTAGTCAGTCAGGACACTGGTACATCGTTCGCCCATCGTATAAAGGACCAGCGTTAGAGCTGTTATAATGCAGCAGTCTGATAACTGGGATTAAAAAACAGGAAGAAAGAACTTTTAGAGCATCTTACAACACTGAAATGCCTCAAAGCACTTCACAGTGTAGTGACTGTGTATGTGCAGACAAACGCGGCAGCTGTTTAAAATGAATGACATCTTTCCCAATCCCGAGTTGAGCAAAGCCTCGTCCCGTGATTAAGAACTTTCAATCAGCAAAGACTCAATTTTCCGTCTAATGAACTGCCAATAAAATAAGAGACACCCTCCGTGGACGGTTCTCGTCACAAGCACATTGCTCGCAAAAGCGCTTTCAGCTCTTTTCATGCCTTAATATTTCTATAGCAGCGTCTGCCCCTGAGAATAATGCAAAATTTCCTACCCTAACCCGAACGTGGAGGGGTGGGATGGGGTGGGGGGGCAAGTACTGTCAGCATAAATTATAGGCTCTAGAAATAAATGTATGGGGAAGCAATACGCAATCTTTGAGACACTGTAACTGCACAATATGCCATTTTGGGCCTATTTCGTTGGAAAAGATGCGCTTGGATGTCAGTCCCTGACAGGCTGCCAGTCACCAGAGCCGGGATCAGCACCTCTGCTGGAACATAAATCAAATGTACGAGTTGGTCTTTGACACCTGACAATGAAAAGCGTCTATAATAATCGTTGCATTTGGTATAACAACAACAACTTGTATTTACATAGTGTCCTTCACGTGGCGTAGCTTCCCGAAGCACTTGATATAGGGCCGTTCACATCAGTAGGACCTTTCAAAGCGATTCTCTGTAAGGTGTAGTGACTGTGTATTTTTGCAGATGAACACAGCATCCAATTTGACCCTGAACTGACATGTGACACAATCTTCAAGGGAGGATTATCTCCTTCCTGTAGATTGTGTAACATTACAGTTGCATTGGACAAAGTCTTGCCAACATTTGAGCCCCAGGTACACGCAATAGATTGCCATCAGTCACCAAATGTACATAAATAAGAGGCACTTGTCGTCAAAATAGTTCATCCTTATTCACGATAAAAGCTTCTGTGGCTAAATCATCAATGGGATATTTCTAAAAGTCTTACATAACTTTTTTTCATTTCAAGGCAATTCACATAAGTAAGCGCACATTTCCTATGACCTTGAAATGGGCCTTTAGAGCACTCCCTGATCAGTAGCGTTGCCTTTCAATTGTTAGAACGAGTTTAATAAATATTTGGTACACCATACACTCAGCTGAAAGGACAGCGATGTTTGATAAATTCCTGGGACTTGCTCAATGCTTTGCAGCGTGCTGTGTTTTGCACCAGTTCAGCGATAGCGCAATCACACCTGGATTCTAAATCATTTGACTGCAAATACACAGTCACTCCACTTTACCCGTGGAGCGCTTTGAGCTAACACGAAAGGTGCTGTATAAAATGCAAAGAATATTTATTATTATTGCTTTATAGTTTTCTTTATAGGGAAATATATGGGCTCAGGATACGGCTGAGTAATCTGTTTATTTTGATTGACTTTTATTACAAATGCATTAAAAAAAACAAGGAACAATCTAATATTGCTACAGAAGATATTGGAAAAAAGCAGCCTCGTGGTACCAATACTTACATCCGCGATAACGATTAGAAAAAAGATGTTACCTATTCGCCTATACCTGTTGCTTCGGTCTGTTTGCTGACGTCTTGAGCGCACTGAGACTACCCTGCGTGGGGGGCACTATACAAGTGCAAGTTGTTGTTCTTCTTGTCTTCATTTCTGGAGCCGCTGCTCTTTCTTCTCCAGGATAAATTTTCACATTTTAATATTCAGATTTGGCATCAATCGACTAATTAGACATGCTGGCACCCAGGTGCGCATAAAATACCATTCTTAGAATGACATTTGGTATCTTTCATCTCGGAAAAGAGTTCATTTCTCTTTCTGATTATTCCTTCCTGCCAGCTTTATAACCCGAAGAAAGACTCTCTCTTTATCTCCTTTCAGCTGACAGCAAAGGATCACAGAATGGCGCTTGAAAAAAGTACAACAGCAGCATTAAATACGTGACAAATAGTGCTGCCTGGTTTGGAAAAAACTCCCCTCTCAGTAAACTCACCTCTCTTCGGAAATACGAGTGTACAGCTGAAGTGACAATAATGGTACAGGGTATTGTGACCAAAGTCTTTTGTGGTATATAAAATAAAAGAAGTACAATTCTACATCTAAAGAGTTTGGCAAGAAGAATTTATAAGTTTGAGTGTCTTGAATTTATCAGTTTGGATGCGCTGACATTATGTTGAATTGTGAAAATGAAAGTTGTCGAGAAAATGATGTGTAAGGACCTGCTTGAATTGGATTGAAATACTCCAGAATAAAACCCTAAAACACAAGTTATTCCTCAATATGTGGAAAGAAAATACACCCCCATATTTTTTAAGAAGATATTTTATGAATAATAATCATCCTTACGGTTGGCAGTGTGCCTTTCACGCAGGAGGACCGCTCAAAATGTTTTATAGGATTTACTGTAAAGTCTAGTGATTGTGTACTGTACTTTATAGGTAAATACAGAGGCCAATTCGCAAACAGCAATGTCTCGTGTACAGACAATGAAGTGGAATGACCAATGTTATGATTTACATTTAAAAAGAA